GTCTGGCCCTGAGCGTGCACTAAATGCATGGCAACGGACAATTTGCATAACACTCCAGTATGAATGGGCTCTGAAGCCTAGTTCCAGTCAAAACATTTTCTGTTAGATAGGGTAGGTAAGAAACAGTATATAACAAAGCGCCAGCGGCTTACGTCCAAACAAGGAGAAAATCTGCAGTGATCTTAGTATGAACCGTGAATGAGGCAGGCTCTCAAAAAGGCTTTAGGGAAACCTCAATTCTGGAAAAACAAAAACCAGAGAGCACCTCCATCGCGTAAAAACATTTTAATAAAATAATTTAAACAGATGAAAACATACTCACAAGGATTACGTTTAAAAAGGCATGAAACGGTAAAAGCATGAAAGACTTAGCCCACCGGCTACTCTTCCTCCCTGATGGTCAACGTTTCCGAGGTCACGCCTCCTTCGTCAGAACCTGAATCTCAAAGATGTAAATGGGCCCTCAATCTTTCCACACTATCCAAAGCTAAATATTTTAACTAGCTTTTAAGTCTAAGATTACACAGACAATGAAATCTCTTTACTACTGATTGATTTAACCACAGTAATTGTCAATAAGCAGTTACCTCTCCCAGTAGGGAAGATTTATTATCCCCTTTGCAGCCCTAAGTTCACAGACAGGCCAAACTGTACAGCAAATCTGATACTGACATTGCCAGCAGTGCTTACGTCATATCATTATTAGGAGTAATAGAAGTTATTAGAGGTATTATACGTTATGAGAAGTAAGAGGGTCAGCATGACAACCAGGAAACTAGCAGTTTAAATGCGTACAAGCAGTATGTTTCCATAAATGATTTAATATTACCTTGCAATGTGTCTTTGAACATGCTATAAAATGTGACTACTCCAAGAAGAGTTAAACTGACATTAAAGGATCAAAAAAATTTCCCTGTTTCCCCATGTTAATGTCAGCACCTTAAATTATGTCTCCAGCGATGCGGCGGGTCTTCGATCCAGTGCTGACTCCTCTGTGCTTGCTGGCACTTCCTGTCCCACTGTGTCTGCATGCGGGTGCACGCTGTCCATAGACTTACCTTGTGTCTCTCCTCGTCTCCCGTCCGAAAATCTGAACTGCGCAGGACAAATAAGGGTCTGCTTATAAACAATTTGCAGAGCCATTCACCCTGTGAATCTCTGTGAACATTTGTTCAGTGTGAATACAGGCAATATAGGCGAATACTGTGTGAATATTGCGTGAATACAGGTATTTTCCTTTCAGGTTGAATGTAATGTGATGTCATTTGTATAATAATAATAATGTAATAATGAACGTAATGTGAATTTATTATGACCATTAGATGGAGCTGAAGAGCATCGCAAATACTTTTAGTTTTCAGGTCGAATGTGATGTAATACTGCATTATGACAACAAGATGGAGGTGTGGAGCATAGGAAATAAGCATTTAATTAAATTAGTATTAAGGTCTGGGCGTTTCTTACTTAATGCATTCTCTGCATTCAGGTAAAAACCACCCAGAACCTTTTTCTCCCCCAGTCGACACACACTTACCTGTCAGCGACGCCCATCCCCGCTACCGGTCCCGAAGTGATCCTCCGTTCCCCATATTTTCTGGTTGAAGGCGGGGCAATACTGATGGCAAAGGAGCCATAGGCTCCTTCTGCCATCAATCAAAGAAAGAAGGGGCGTGGCCTGCCACAGGGCTGTGTGTGTCTATGGATGCACACAGCCACAGCGGGCACGAGCGCGCACCGGTGCCTCCGTTGGCCAATGGAGGCACCGTGTAGGGGGGGGGGGGGGGGGGGAAGAGGGCAACCGG